TTTTTTCACTGTTTTCACTGAGATTTGAATTTGAATGCTAATCAATAAATCAAAATCGAAAAAAATAAAATAAAATAGATAGATATGTTTTAATATATACATTTTAATCTGCAGATGTGATGCTGACCCCTCTGCATTAGCCAACTATGTAGTTGCTCTTGTGAAGAAGGACAAACCAGAGAAGGAACTGAAAGCACTTTGTGCTGATCAGCTTGATGTCTTCCTACAAAAAGGTATACATTTTATTTTATTTATATAAAGCTTTTCTGCTAATGTGTCAGCAGGCAATTTTGACATTTTGTAGCTCTTCCTGGTTAAGGTGGAGGAAAAACTTTTGCTCCATCATTAAGCTACCAAGGGATTTATTCGTACTCCCCTTGCACATGTCAGACAACAGAGGCTTTGCAGTTAGGTCACAAATCCTTTGGGAATCAGACCTGGTGGCATTGTCGAGGTCAGTGACTAAACTGATTATTAAAAATTAGTTGCTAAGTTTAGACAGATCAGAAGTTTTTTCCCTGCATACAAAAAATGTAGTACCCCTGCAGAGGGGATTTAGTTTTCTTTTTTCCCCTCATATGCCACCAAGACTGTACTATATAGTTTAAGTAGCTCAAACATGGAATACATGTGGTTATCATAAATAATATTGAAATTATGCAACTTGTTTGATATAGTAAAACAGGCTTTTTGTCTTAACAATGTTAAAAAACTTGATTGAGGCTAGAAAATGACCAATATGGAAATAAGTTGATCAGAAGCATTTGATCCAATTGATGTGTCGTCTTGGCTTCAATTAAACTGATAATGTTAGCCATTACCTGCAACACAAACTGCTTTTCAGCCCCCAGAACTCATATGTATTACCCATTAACAGTCACACTAATGTAGCCTGCATTCTGTAGCAGGCCATGTTAATGAAATATCACCTGTATAAATATAGTGAGGCAGGCAGAATACAATGAAATGTATAGAGTCTTAAATTTGAAGTGGAACATTAGCAATGCTATCTTCCTCGTGGATGCCATTTGTTGACCCCACATGTGGCCACCAGAGGGAGTGTTGAATCGTTTGATAGTGACTCTGTATCCAGTGTGATGTGTCCTGATTCAGTCTCTTTATTTTTAGCTCTGCACTATTAAAATTAGTTTAGGGGTTTAATTTAGTTGGAAAACATGTTGATGGTTATTACATATGTCTCCTGGATCACTTTAGAATTTTTTAATGTTACATTTTTTTAATCAGGTAGCTTTCCCACATTTCATGGATGCAGTGTTCATATGTGTTATTTTTTATGTGTGTGTTATGTTTTTAGACTTTTGGCCCTTTTTCACAAGACTGAAAACTGCATGCAGTTTTTAATGTGTTCTCGTGATTAATTTTGTCCTTGCAGAGACTGTGGGATTTGTTGATAAGCTTTTTGAATGTTTGACGACCAAGAACTACCTGGGAAATCCTGCTGCCAAGGAAACTCCCAAAGAGGAGATTAAACTGCCTGCAATCAAGGCTGAAGTTGTTGAGGTACACCCTGAAATTGAATAGCTCGCCTTTTGAAAATGAGTGCGCACGCACACACACACAATTTTTTTTTTTAACTGGTTGAGTGGTTTTGTTGGAATGGGCATTTCAATTTGAAATCAAAGCTTTTGATAAAATCACTTATTTTGAATGCTTTTTTGTTTATTAAGGCTACGTCCAAACGTACATGGGTAGTTTTGTAAACTGAGATTTCTCATTTTCATTTAAAAAAATTAAAAAATATCTCGTCCACACGTGCAGTTTTCTAAAATTATCTCCGTCCACATGTAAACGCAGAAGTAGCTCACAAAGAGCCAAAGTGAAGTCCTCGACCTGTGAAAATTATCTCGCCATTCTTCTGGAAGAAACGCGTGTGAAAGAAAGGCCCAAACGCATTGGAAAAGCTACGTTTTTAAAAATACCCATGTATTTGTGGACGTAGCCTAAGTTTTAAAGTTATATTATAGCTGATGTTTTTTGTTTTGTTTATTTTGTTTTTTCCCCTCAAGGCTGAAACACCCGAGGAAGAGAACAGGCGAAGGAGAAGTCCTCTGAGAAATCGCTCTGACTTCAATGAGTCCAGGTATATGGCTTGCATTTAACTTTGTCTTTACAAGCAGCTAAAACATTTGCAGGTAGGACACACTTGTTGAACTGTTTAGTACATATTGATGTTGTGTAGTTGTATAGCGATCTTACCAAGCAGCTATATTTCCAACCCTCCAAGTCCTGCTTTTGGCTTGATTAGGCCCTCGTGTCCACTAATGTGTCCCTTGGCTGTGGCATATCTAGTGTTGGGTGCAGATGAGAGAGTTCATTCACTGATATACGATAATTAACGTAATTTGAAAAGAGTTACGTCTTTAATATGTAGGGTATATTTTCTGCATATTTTTAGAAATTAAGTTGTCATTAATTAATTTTTTTACTTTATTTTACTTTCTTGAGCTTCTGCTGTGAAAAGCTTCTGTTAATGAAACTAAGCACTTCCCAATAGTTTTAACACAAACAGCCCATTTGGGGACTTAATGGGATTGTGCACACATAAAACAAAGGTAATTAAGCCTTTCCCTAATAACTTGTTTCAGATAAAAGCGTACTTCTCTCAAACAAAGATCATTATTTCAGGGTTCATGTTATGTTAAAGACACACAGAAAGAAATGATCCTTGCGTCTTCATTTGTTATAAGAAGACCCACATTCGTGTCTGAAAACCTGTGAAGTATTCCTGTGTGATTTATACATTTAAAATCAGCAACGCCTCTAACTTCTCATCATCCACACAGGAACCGCGATGAGAGGAGGCGAGACGAGCGCAAGCGCCGTGACTTTGATCGGCACGGGAAAAGCGGCAGCGACTCCCACCGGGAGCGCCATGAGCGGCGCAGGGGCAGCCCCCGCGGGAGAAGCTACAGCAGGAGCCGCAGCCGGAGCGGCAGTCGTGGAAAGAGCAGGGATAGGGAGCACAGAGGAGGCAGAGGTGAGAAAGTCCCCCCTCCCACAACCAATAACAACAACAGCACAGGGGAACAAAGATTGAGGCGCGAAGAAGCTCCTGAATCTCTCGTCAGCACTGCTAAACGGTGCATTAGTGACGGTGACGTGCTGTTGGAGACATGCTGGTGTGAGGCGCTTTAGATGAGAAGACTTGTAGAAATTACGGATGTAGCCGACTCTCGTTTTTATTCCTGTCGGATTGTTGGACAGTGTTGCTGGGAGTTGGTAGAAAGGAAGGGAGAATGTGGACAGCTTTGCAGTCCTATCACTGGGGGTTCAACAACATGGGTTGGGATTGGTCTTCTTACCACCAAGGTTAATCTGCTCATCTTTGTCATTACAAGTTTCCATCTTTTTGTAATCTATCATTTAATGTAGTGCTTTTAAAAGTCAGCTATGATACAGTACACAATGATTTATGTGATTTACTTGTTTTCAACAGACTTCAAGTCAAAGTTTGAGGCAGAAAGGAAGGACACTGACGGATACAACTCTTCCACCACATCCGGCTCTCAGCAGCAGCAGCAGCAGCAGCACCCGCCACCTCTCCTGCCCTTACACACACCTCTGCATCCCTTTTCCTCTTCTTCCTCGTCTTCAGGAGCTGGGGGTGTACCGGTAGCAACACTGGCTCACTTGCCCGACAGCACTACAGACAGCTGGTCTAGCTACTACGGAACGAGGCAAGATGGTGTTTGCAAACCTTTCAGCAAGGCTGCTTCACTCAAACAGCGCTGCAGGGATTATGATGGTAGGAGCAGAGTTAATCATCCTGTTCTCAATTCCTTTGATTCCTTCTTTCTGTCATTTCGTGTGTCTGTGTGTCTTTTATTTTATTTTTTATTTTTCCATCTGAGAGCCTTTTATCTGCTACAGCCCAGTAGCATTAGGGAGATGTTTTCTGTGCATTTCAAAGGGGATCAGAGTAACACTGGAGCTTTTTGATGAGATTTAAAGGAAATGTTAAGTTTATGATGGCTGTTGTACAGTTTGCTCAAGTCTCTAGTTTAAACACTACCTTTTTCTTCCCCTGAGGCTTCTGTGCCTTGTTTGGTCTCTTCACTAATGACCACTGCTTAGCACTCATCCTCTTGTCCCCAGTGAAAGGTAGAAAAGCAAGCTGGTTCCCTCTCACTCCCCTCTACACTGAGGCTCAGGAGAGTTTAAACTTACCCACTGTCCCTGAAGTACACTGCTTTCTGTCACAGTGCTCAAACACAGCCACTTGGGACCCAGTTCCTTAATGAGGCTTTGGTGTAAATACATGAACTGTGTGACTTGGCTGCTTTAAACTCAGATGTTTATTCATTTTGTTTAATTCCCATGAATTTTTTATGTTATTGTGTGTGGTGTCTTTTTGTTTGTTTGGCTTTATTAATGTGTGTGTGTGTGCATGTGTGTTTTGTGACTGCAAGGCAGCAGTTTATATAAACTCCATGTTGTGTACGATATTTATGAATAATCGCTTCTCTCCCTCACACAGAAAAAGGATTTTGTGTCCGTGGTGACCATTGTCTCTATGATCACGGCAGTGACCCCCTCATAGTCGACGATGTCAATCTACCAAATATTATTCCGTTCCCACCCCCACCGATTCTGCCACCCGCCGGGCTGCCCATGCCCCCCATCACTGAACCACCTCCCTCCCTCAGGATGCCTTCTATGCCACCCTATGGCCAGCCACCACCACCAGGTGTTTTCCCTATGACAGGTGAGTATTAATGCTCCTCTAATCCATAAGTTTGTGCTTTATCATATTGCGAAGTTTTACAATTTGCATCTACAAAATAGTGAAGCCAGAAGAACCGTGTTCCTCTCTCAAATATTTGGTTTTGTGTGAGACGCGTTGTTCTTCCACTGCCCTTTTTCAGTCTGGTCACAATATACATACCTTTTCTTTGGCCTGTAGTATCATTGATTTATGAAGATATTTTTGCATGAGATTCCCCAATGTTTGAGAGCTAACAAACATCTCTTTAATATAATAGAAGTAGGATTAAATCATAAATCGTTTTCATTTAGAAACAATTTTGTCCCCACTCACAACAAAATCCAGCTAACTAATATGGTAAATAAATGGTAAATGGCCTGTATTTATATAGCGCTTTACTAGTCCCTAAGGACCCCAAAGCGCTTTACATATATCCAGTCATCCACCCATTCACACACGATGGCGATGTGTTGAAAGTGTAGCAGGTCACATGTAAGACATCGTGGCCTCAGTAATGTGACACTGTACTCCTTACTCTGATGGCTGATTTGACGACACCAGAGGTTTTAAATATGTAAAGATTCAAATGAACGGTATATTGGAATGAGATATCACCACTCTGGTGTGTAGAAAAGCAGCTGTCTTCAATATTATATGTATGTATACGTGTGAGTGAGTGTGAGTGAAAACACTTGCCCGACTTGACAACGTGCTCAGTTGTAAAGAGTTTTTGTTGAATTTCTCAAGGGAAGAAATCAACCTGTGCAATCTTCCTGCCTTTTGAGTTGCACTATTGCCGGTCAGTTTCACACTGGCTGTGTTTTGTTTTTGCAAATCATCATGATGATTTAAAAAGTATGTATTTAAAGTAAAGCTGTATTTAAATCCAAAGCTCAAAAATCTTATGTATCTACATACGTTTAGAGCAGACGTGCTACACAGTAGATAGCTGCTCATTGATCATAAACGGTACATAAAACTTATTTTTTGCCTTTTTAGTAAAAAAAAAAAAAATATATATATATATATATATATATATATATATATATGATATATATATATATATATATATATAATATATATTTATATATATATATTATATATATAATAATATAATATATTTTATATTTTATAGCGATTCATTATATATAGTGTTTTTTCTTTTTTTTTCTTTTTTATTTTTTTTTTTTTTTTTTTTTTTTTTTTTAAAAAATTTTAAACATGGGGGGTGATGACTGAAACATTTGACCTGATAGGCTTTTATTGTTTCAGCTACTTTTTAAGGCTGTTAAAGTTATGAGATTTCTATCTTCCACTTGATAAATGGATAGTGTGTCATAAAGTTTAAGCAAATCTATCGAGAAGACGCTGCAGTTTCCTGGTGCATCTGCTTTTATATTAAAGCAGTCAGATTTTCACTGAAATACTTCTTTAATACTATACATGTAATATACTATAGAGTCATTGCAAATTTGCATTTTGTCATTTTCTATTTTTTATTTTATTTTTTGGTAATTTTTATTTCATTTTGATTTTTTGGTTTTGATTTCAGTTGAGTTTCATTTAGTTTCCAGAGTTGATTTTTCTCATTTATTAGTTTTATCGCTACATTTAGTTTTTGTTGTTATATCGACTCCATTTTATTTCATTTTAATTTTCCCAGTTCACAAAATAATTTTAGTTGGTTTTAACTTTCTTTTTTGTTTAATCTAGTTTTTAGTTTTCATTTAATTGACTAATTTATTTTCTTTCACATCTAGTTTTAGCTTTTAGTTGTAGTTAAATATAATGACCTTTTGTACCTGAGACATCAGCTTGGGCTTGTGTCTCCCTCAGGACCCCCACTGATAGCAACCAGTGGGATTGATACCCCCAACCACCAATCTGCAATCACTTCTTCTCCTCCCGTCGGACCGCCTGGTGTGGGCCGACCTCCTACACTTCCTCCTCCTCCTCCACCTCCTTCCTCGACCTCATCTGTGTCTCTTCGTCCCCAATATGTCCAGTCTGAATGTAAGCAGGGCTGCTTTTGCTTTTCAGATTGGGACTGTGCATTTGGAAGAGATTTTGCTGTGTTGCTTTTTATTTGGGTGTTCCTTTTAGTGTGTTTATGTTGTTGAGTTGTTATTTTTTACTTCTCATTTCTGTGTGCTTTAATAGTTACAGTATAATAAAGGTTAGTTTACTAAATATCTAAAATAACTCAGATGGTATGGGTTATTTAAAACAAAAACACTTTTTGGTTCTGTTTCTGTTTCCTGTCACTGTAAAGTAGTTGTTGTATGCCGTGTGTGTTTGTGTGCACAATTGGCATGTGTTTCTTGAGCCTGCAGTAACAGTTGTGGACCAGAAGGTAGCGCTGTGTATTAACCTAAAAACAAAAAACCAAGCATCTCTGGGAAATTTTGTCGTGACTCATTTAGTTGAGTGCTTCCTGCTATGATTATGCACATGAGGGTTTCAGTTACAGACTCTTTAAAAGACTTTAAAGAACTAAAAAGAAATTGGTCTATGTGGTATTTGCAAACTTTGGGTTTGTGATCTGTTACCACAACTGCCGTGAAGGGCCTCTTTCTGATAATTTTGCACTTGTGTGTCACAAATGTAGATAAGAATGAAAAGCATCATCTTGGTTGTTAATTTTTATCTTTGTTTGTTTCTTGCTGGGTTATTTTGCGCACTTACAATAACTGTAATTTTTATTTCTCGCATTTTGTAGGTTTTGTTCATAAATTTTATCCTGGACTACATGTTAAACTCATGTCACAGGTTGCTACCTATTCAGTGGTTACATTTAAAGACAACAGATTCTTTTTTTATTAATATGTTTGCTTGTATTCACTTTTTCATATTTTTAAATGTTTTCATATTCCCCCCCTAACGGTATGTGCGTCTGTTCACTTTTACACATTAGACAACTACGATGCAGAAGGCTACAACCCAGAATCTCCAGGCCTGACTGTAGCAGGACGTAACCCATATCGTCAGTTTATTCCCCGGGTGCAGACTCAACGCTCCAACCTCATTGGCCTCACCTCCAGTGAAGGTCAAGGCTCCAGAGGTAACAACCTCATTTACAGTGTTTTTTTTTAATTCAACCTGATCCTGGGAAATTGACCTTCTCAGACTGATTTGACTTCTTGCGTATCTTCTAGCTGCCAACATAGTGATCCAGACAGAGCCAGCTACTGCACCCAGCACTCCTGGAAGTAACGTGTCCCGTTTCAACACAGAGCAGGACAGCAGGAAGAGGACCATGGGACCCAGTACAGCTGAAGGGCCAGCACCTAAAAAACCCTGGATGGAAAAGTAAGAGATTAAAGAAAAAAATATTTGATTTAGGATGTCATTTATTCTGCACAGTGTTTTGTTTTCTGTGAAGAAATTGGAGTACGGTAGCCAGCTGAAATGTAATCAAGTTGGTGCCTCACCCCATTACTTATTACTGCTAAGGAGCTTTGTTTTAAGGTGAGGTGAGTCAGGTCAGCAGCAAGTGTTGTCTCAGTTGTAAGCAGGTAGATACAAGCATCCCAGTCATGAGGATTTCTTTGCATTATCTCTACTTGGAGTACATTTAAACTGTCATACAGGTTGTAGGTTGGAAGTAGTCTTCTTTAAATAAAACCATAATATGGCCAAAACTTGAATCCCAGATCATCAATCATCGCTAAATTTTGATTAACTCATCTGCTTTTTTCCTTCATTTATTTATTTATTTTTTTTATGAAAACAAAACTGCCAAATTAGTGATGTTAGCACTGAAATGTTCTTTTTAGGCCGAGCTTCAACAACCAGCATAAGGGTGCTTTTCCCAAGAGGACTTTTTACGTGAACACAAAGTTGGAGGTGCGCAGGATCCCGCGCGAGCTCAACAACATCACCAAACTCAACGAGCACTTCAGCAAGTTTGGAACCATCGTCAATATACAGGTAAAATGCATCCAGTTTTGTTTTTTGTTTTTTTGTTTTTTTGCTTTTTTTAATGAGTGCTCCCCACAAAGTTCATAGAGATTAGGCCTGCAGGAGAATGAATTCAAAACATTTACGGACTTGCACGTGCACTCTCAATCCAGGTTGTGTTTGGCGGAGACCCAGAGGCAGCATTGATCCAGTACACAAAGAATGAAGAAGCCAGACGAGCCATATCCAGCACAGAAGCGGTCCTTAACAACCGCTTTATCCGCGTGTACTGGCACCGCGAGCTTGGTGCTAATGCCACAGGCCTTCAGCAGCAGGAGCAGAGCTCAGGGAGCCAGGTTGCCGGGTCAGTGCCCAACCAGGGGCTGCAGCACAGCAACATGCATAAAGTTGGTATTAACAGCGGAGACATTGAGAATCCTTTGATGGCAATTTTATATATATTTTTAAAATATCCATTGATTTACCCTCACTCGTTTTATCTGCAGGGGATCAAGCAGCACAATCCAGCTGCTTATGTGTTGAACAAGACTGTACCCAAGCATCATCTGTCTGCAACAGCTGGGGCCACGACAAATGCCAAGTCGGACAACCTGAATCCAAACACGGACACGGCTGCTGTATGTTTTAAGTTTATCTTGCAGACAATATCAGGCAAAGTGGATATTATATAATATACAAAAGTATAATATTATGATGGCACGTGTGTTACAACATTTTCACAGTGATTTATGTGTGTTTGTTAGCTAAAATTGTATTTGTAAAGAAATTAATTATATATTAATTTTCCTTTTTTTGCCCCTCCACCTTTCTCCTTAGGTGGTGCCTGCTACTACGAACACCCTGAAGGGACACTACACTTCCACAGCCGCCAAGTCTTCCTCAAAGAGCCTTGGGAAAACGGGAAAAGCACTGGAAGCACATGAAGCTCTCAAGAAAAAGCAGGCACGTTGCTTAACTTGGTTACGCATTTTGACCATTAAAAGAATAGCAGAGCTAAGCCATTTCCTTCTCTCAGGAGCCACAGCTAAGAAGGCTACCACTGAGAGAGAAAACTGTTTGGGGGTTTTTCATCTCAGTGAATGTTTTTGATTCCCTTTTTCTTTTTCCCCTCCTTTAGGAGGCACTAAAACTCCAGCAAGACATGAGAAAGAAGAAACAGGAGATGTTAGAGAAACAGATTGAGTGTCAGAAAGTAAGACATTTAACATTGAAACTATTCTTATCTGTAATCCTTCCTCTTTTTCTCCAGTGTACTGTCAACGTTCTTTCTGATACCATTTTTCGTGCCCTTCCAGGCGCTGATAAGTCGGCTGGAGAAAAACCGAGGCATGAAACCTGAAGAGAGGGCCAACATCATGAAAACGCTGAAAGAACTAACGGAAAAGATTACCCAGCTCCAGAATGAAATGAACCTTGCCTCCCAGGTCTCAAGCGCCAAAACTAACCACAGCCAGCCCAAAACCAAGACTGATGTAAGTTTGGCTTCCTTTTTGTCTTTGTACGTAACTGAGAGTAGGGGCGGGAAATTTAGGCCGAAAATTATATTACACATTGGTAGAGTTGTTTATTTGCCTTTTTTCACACTTCACAGGTCCTTTTTAAAAAGGCGTTTCTTCACATAAAAAACATTTTATATGAAGAATAAAACTGCATACATTGAGTAGGTAGATGTTTATGAGTTTAAATTTTTTTATATACATTTTGTGTACTCTAAACCTTAGATGCTGGTGGATTAAGGTATTTATGGGGTCTTTATTAAGCAGTAGAAAGAAAGAACCTCCAGATCTCAATTTATAATATCTTAAAAATATTTGCTGTGTGTTTTCTAAGTTTAAGAACTATATAATATCTCTGAGCCACTGGTAAAGGAGAGGGGGAGTACATTTCTTTCTTCTTTTTAGGGTTAGACAGCTCGCCTCGAGTGTGCTGACCGCATCAAGGGGGGGGGTGAGAGTGCGTAGGATTCCACTGATGTTAAACCAAAATGTGTCAAAAAACATTCTCTAAAGGCTCTAAAACTACTTGGCCACAAGGTATAGACATTTACGTATATACAGGATATGTGCACACAGGCTGTCCTATATACCAAGTGAATAACCGCTCAGCCTCAACAAATCTTTGCTGTTTTCACATTCGTTTTCTCCTCTTTGCATGTAGTTGTGTCCTAGTCCTAGGCCCTTTTCAAATTTCAACTGTGTGATGTTGAGTTCCTGTATGAGTTCCTATACCTGGGATTGGGTCCTTTTTAGTCTGAATGCAATGAAAAAAATGGTTCTTTTGCGGGGGGGGGGGTGTTATCTTTCCTGGAAATTCCAAGGAATGCTTATACAAATCTTTTAATCCATATTGAAAGAAACGGTTCTTACACTAATCTTAGGTTTGCAAAAATTGAAAAAAGATCAAAACGTCAATGTTGGTTCTGTACAGGACCAAAGTAGAGGATCTGTTTGAATATTGGGTGCATAGGAATAAAGTTTTTTTTTTTTGTTTGTTTTTTTTGTTTTTTTTTGTGTTTTAATCACAATTTCGATTCACACAGTTTTGTCTTGATTGACCTTGTTAGACCAACAAGCACGCTCCACCCCCCCCCCCTCCTTTATTTGTAAACACAAGTTGATATTTGTGTATTTAATTGCTTCTCTGGATTAAGTAAACAAATTTCTTTTCTATGACATGCGATCAGGCCCACAAGGAGCTGCTAGATGCTGAGCTGGACTTTCACAAGAAGATGAGCTCTGGAGAGGATACAACAGACCTCAAAAGAAAACTGGGGCAGCTACAGGTGGAGGTAATACACACTCTCTCTCTCACACACACACACACACACTCACACATTCTCACACACACGCACAGAAAATACACATGGATAGAAACAGACACAAAGTTAATCATTGACAGCATCTTGCATCATCAACACTTTCGTTGAGAACTGAATTAGAGGATGTGATACCAAGAAATGCCTTAGAGGAAGTGTGCAGATGAGATTATAGTCGCAGCCTGTTCTGCAAGGGGTGGAAAGAGATGGTATCTGTCCACCAATAAAATAAATCAAATAATATATTGAATTCATTAGTTTATTTGTGTTCTGTCAGACGTGTCAGGCAGAAAGTTTTTTGTTTTTTGTTTTTTTTTTTTAAACCATCTATGTTCTGTTTGTTTTATTTGACTCTGTGATAACTGGAACCTGATCCTGCAGTTTCTGCACAAGCTCCAGATCCGCTGTGTTTAGTGTTATTCGCTCAGCTCGAAGCTTCGTAAGAGTCCTAATGAATCTGATGCGAACGTCTTGGTGATACCACAAGACACCTACACAAGATGTAAATGACCTATTGCTTCCTTCCTGTTAAAAGGGAGTTTCTCTTTCCCGCTTACCCCAATCGCTACTCATAGGGGACCAACTGACTGTTGTGGTTTGCACACTATCGTCACAAGGTCTTTACCTTGCAGCATAATTGCCTTGAGGCGACTGTTTTTGTGAACTGGCCTTATATAAATAAACTTGAATTGTATTCAGTAATGAAAAGGAAAAAAAAAAAAAAAAGAGTTTTATGGTAAATTTTCAGTTTACCTCTGTACTATTATCTTAGTCGGCTCCAGTAGTTGCCAGACGCACTCCTCCAGATGCTTGCTTTGTAGTCCCCTCGGGGTTTTGACACATCAGATTAAACGGCATTTTATTACTACACTCCATCAACGTGTAAGGAGGTAGACTTACACACACTTATCTACTGAATTGGTGGCTTTTCTTGAGGTAATTAGTATTGCAGTTTTGTTTGGAGTATTTGTACATTATATTTCATGTTCTATAACTTGCATTTAACCTCATCTTTGTTGCATTCATTCTGGATCAGGTCTCTTGTAAGTTAGCGTGGTTTCCTGGTTAAATGAGCAATGACACATAAATGACACATCTTCCCAGTGATTCTGCCAAAAGTCATTAATTAGGTTTCAGGTTAGGTCATGCAGCCCATACAGTTATTTATTTGTATTTTTTGGTGTTACACACAGTGTTTTCTTCTTCTTTATCCTCTCAATTTGCTGTGCACGCAGATGGCTGTGGCTTAAGATCAGGCTAACAACAACATAGCTTTTGTTAGCAACAACCTGCTTTGCATTTTTTTTCCTTTAACCCCAGGGTCTTAAATTGGCTAGTTGTTTAAAAATGGATATGCATCCCCCATCCATCTAAACTCAGCCTGCCTTCTGCACATTAAACTGCAGCCACTTAAGCAAGCCCAGAGGAACATCTGCTAACGAAGCCAAATAAGACACACGTCCTACACTGATGGAGCTGCGCCTCATTAAAGTTTGAGACACTGGTCCTTGTAAGAAAATCGCAGGATGACAATTAAAGGGAGAGTGGTTGTGAGCTTGTGGAGTGTCTGAGAAGGAAGGAGATGTTTTTAAAAATGGAGGAGTGACAACTAGTGGTAAAGGGCAGAAAGTGAGAGAGTAAGGGTGTGTAGAAAATGTTTCAGCTCTGAAGGGTTGTGATGGCCTGCTCCTTTTTGTTGTTGTTTTTGTATTTTTCCATAAACTTTTTTTTTTAAGTTATTCAATATATAAATTAGACACACAGTGGTGTGTAATTGTGTACTGAAATCAAACAGCGTCCAGTCAACCGCCCTTTCTGTCCTCCTTTAGGCAACACGTTTGGGTTTGATCTGGCCTCCAGCAGGTCGAGGTCGCGGCCGAGGAAAGCTGGGCCCAGATCCTGGTGCGATGCACGTGGGCCGTGGCCGGAGTCGAAACCGGGAAATGATGGCGCGCGGCGGGGCTGTGAACCGTATGGTGGTTGATCACAGACCCAGAGCCCTGGCTATTTTAGGGGTCACTCAGGAGGAAAAAGAAGAGCTAATGCCGCACTTTGTGGTAAGAATATGGCAGGATCTCTCCCTCCAGTAATACAGCACGATGTTATTGCTAAGTAATAAAAACTGTAGTAATAAATACCACTTTATTCCCTCTTATATCTTTTAGATATGTTAAGTGAATCATTTTCCCTGTGATAAGTCATAAATGTTTTGATGTGTATAAGTATATCCTGATTGGCCAACTGATATTTTTAAACCTAGAAATTTGGTGAAATCGAGGATCTCCGTGACCAAGACGCCAACAGTGTCGTCATGACCTTTAAGACACGGAGTGAAGCAGAGAATGTAAGTCACATGGCTCCAAATGTGTATGGGCTACATGTTCTCTTAATCTTGTTGCTTTTCCTCTAATCCTCTTCTAATAATAATAGAATAAATTAATACATTAAAATAATTAAAATACTCCAGTATAGCATCTAAAAGAGCTGTACCTCTCTTTGGTGTTCTAGGCAGCAAACCAGGGAGCTAAGTTCAAAGGTCGTGTTCTGCATATTTCCTGGTACAAGCCCAAGACGCCCTCTGTTACAACGGAGCCAGAGGAAGAGGAGGCTAAAGATGAGGACAGTGCGGTATGACAAATACACACACAGCTTCATGTTTTCCCAGTAACTAAAACAAATTAAGGAAAGGGCGTTGTGTACGACACAACTTGAAAATCTGAGTTGGGGAAACTTTTGAAGTTTTAGTTACATTCACAAAATTTTACTTGGTTATTTCTTTCTGCTGCTTGTTAATTTTTAACAGCAGCTCCCAAAGGAAAAGGAGTGCTAGCCTCTCAGTACTAAGAGCATCTTAGCCCCATGAGTAAAACTGCATTACTGTCAGGTGAAATCCTTATGCTGTATTTATTTAAGGGGTTTGTTTCCTCCTTTGAGGTTGTGCCATTTCTTATATGTAACTTTTGTTTTTAAAGGTACGGTTGCCATTCTGAAAATGTGTCTGTGCACAGGTAGAAATTTGTGGTGCTTAGATTTGTGGTCAGATTTCCTCTGACTGCAGATCTACTTATAGCCACTTCATGCTCATCACGTTTTATCACAGGAGCTGAAACGGACAGATTTCTGGACAGGTCTACAGACTAGTTTGACTGGCAGAGATTAGGATTAATTTCCTGAGACTGATCAGCAGGTCACCTGTCATGGTGGATTCACCGATGGCTAACCAATAGAATGGAGGATGTCTAAATCTAAAGCATAAGAAATATCAGAAGCAGGCAGTCTGACCACTATAGGATTTTTAAGATCAGTACCAATATTTGGTGATTTTAAAATCTGATATTCCAGTATATTTTTAGATTGTTTTTTTTTTTTCTTTAAACAGTTACCTAACATTTTTTATTTGTTACAATATTATTAAAAATAGCTAATATCAGACTAAATAATTTCCCTCTGCTACACTTTGAATCACTTTGTTTGCTGTGTTCTAAACATGCATGTTGCCAGGAGGAAAGCTGACTTACAGTTTCCAGAAAAAGCATAAATATAAATGCTAACATGGTATTTATTTCTACAGAAGGAAGCTAGCTCTTATTTACCTGGGGAGGAAGAGGAAGAAGAGGAGGAGGAAGAGGATGACGATGAAGACGATGAGTACGAGAGTCGATCTTGGAGGCGATAATGACATTCGTCATTATCATTCACTGCTCTCCGGCAGAATCAGTGGTCCCCCACTCCCACTCCCACGCAGATTAAAATTGATGTAAAGGAACTCGCATTTTTTTTTTCCCTTTCCAGTATTTTCAAAGTAATTTTAGACTCTAATCAAAGTAAAAGGAAAAAAACGTCTTTACTTTATTGTACATGAAAAGAAGTGTAGATGGTCAACAGTTTTTTGTATCCCTCAACTAAACAGTTGTTTAAAACATCTCACTTTTGCTGAGAAAGATACATGTTTAGTTGTTCTTATAGCTAGAAAAACTTATGTAAGTTTCTGTGTGCTTACCAGATGGACAATATCAGTAATGCACAACATTTGTGTCGACTGTGAATAGGTATTTTTATACATACTGTATTTAAGCTCTTTTTCTCACCAGTTTTTGTAGAATCTTGTCCTCCGTTCAGGGACAGCCATTCCATCACCAACAGAACGTTCTCTGCCGCTACCACAGAGAAATTTATTTATTCTTTTTCCACACTGCATAAATGCACTGTGCCGTACCGATATTGGCAAAGTATGGTACAGCTTTCACTTTGCTCATAGTTTTGATGTGGTAAAGCCCAACGTGTTAAAGGATTGCATCTTTCTTTTTCCCTAAATGTGTGCTGGTATGAATATTTGCCAGTGCACATGCATGTTGGTGTTCCTAATAAACAGACCGACCCATAGAGATGCTGCACCGTGACCATACAGCCAGTGCAGGTACAATAGGATACCAGTGCAATAAAAAAAAAAACACAATCAATGTTTACAAACTTCCATGCACTTCATATACAGTCATGTAGTCATGTTCGGGAAAAAATCGCCCCCACACACTTGTATTTTGTTGCTCACTCAGTTGTCCAGTGCCACTCTGTGTAAATACACACCCAAACACATGTTGTAATGTTCATCTGCTAAGAGTGCGTAACATTTTCACTTGTTTTCTTCTGTCACTTGGTCATTCAGAGGCCCTGACGGGACAAAGATCAGATCACCCATTTCAAAAATGTGAGATCCATAGACAGGTGTTTGAATGTAATGCTTAAAAAGAAAAAAAAAGAATATATAAATAATTTCTTTGCCTTACACAGTCAGCGGATTGCTGAGTTTTTACAGGACGTGATTTACTTTTGTAAATTTTGTAAATGCTTGAAAGAGAAATTACTGTTCTTTTGTTTTTGTTTTTTCTTTCTAAGTTTAATATTTTTTTGTTTTGTTTCCCCCCCCCTTTTTTTTTTTTTTTTTTTTTTTTTGGGGGGGGGGGGTTTAACGACTGATGAGGTTGTATCAGGTAGAAAATGTTGAGCAGGAGAGCTTAGTATCTCTGCTTTAGTCGCAAGAATTTTGTATTTTCAGTTTTCAACCAGTTCATATTATTTGACTAAACTTGTCATTTAAGTAGGTTTTTGTTTGTTTGTCTGTTTACGAAATATAAGAGCTGCTCCGAGCTGTGGAAAACACTCTGAAAGACACTGAGTCATGCCCGTAACAACATTGATTTAGCTTAAGTGCAGCTTTGCCTCTATCTGAATATTGTCAAACTGTGCTCCGAAGCCACTCTGAGTAAAACCACAGTGTGTGAGTTCATGATAAATATTTTTATTTTCTGTTTTGCCTTTTTTTTTTTCCCCCATATACTGTATTTTAGAATCCTCAAGGTGGGAGGAATCTAAAACCATTAAAACTCACATACAAATGTATTTGGTTAAAGAATTAGTCCTGTCCCTTCCACCAGATACATTTACATGCAGCTTAATGACGTTTTGTTTGATTTATGCTTTTCGTAACCCAGCTAAACTGATCATATCCAGTTTGAATGAAGCACCATAGGAGAAGAAATACTTTAACTTATTACTGTGCAGACTTTACACAAGACATGCATGCACATTTTGGCCTGCGTGGTCATATATTCAGTCAGTGATTACAATTGGTTTTCTTTGCTCCCTAATGCACCCTGGCACCACATCTAAAAGGGTGCAGATCTTCCTCCCATCTACAATGTTGGTAGTGCTCTTGTGTGGATTGCATATTTGACTGTTGACTGATACTCAGACGCCTCCTGCCAGCGACCTCATTGTCCCAAAGCTGATGTTTTTACTTCCAGCATTAGCTTCAGAATGATGTGTGTGAGAGGAGAGGCTGTTGCTTTTCCCTTTGTACATTATGATTTTCTCATGTGATGGGTTTTTTTTTTTGTTGTTGTTGTTTTTTTTTAATTTAATGAGGTCACTGGCAGGTTGAAGGGATAAACCTATACTGGCAAGGTTCTTGCTTTGTGTGAGTGAGGATTCAGAGAAGGTCTCCCACTTTTTGTACTATCACACAATGGTGTAAAAAAATGTAAAGTGTTTATTGGATAATAGTTTTGGATTTGTTACTGTTTATATTTGCAGGATGTGGATGTATTTTCTTCATGTATTTTGTTTGTAAAAATGGATTTCTAATTTACTAGCATGTTTGCTTTTGCCAATAAAGATGGAGGAATTGGGTGCTTATAAGGCCATAAAAAAAAAAAAAGAAGAAGAAGGGGGGGAAAAAAACAGAAAACATACATAAATATAAATTGGATCTGGGAGGGAAAAGAAAAGGTAAAGAAAATGAAAACATGTCGGCATTGGCAAGGGGGGGGGATTTCCAGGCAAAAGCATTCCAGAAAATATGAACCTATTCTCTTGTGTGGTCTCATTCTTCTTGCATGTGCTCGGTAATTAAATAATTCACACTGCAGTATTAGTACTTACAATTAGGCTATAGCATTAAAGATTATACCTGTGCTTAAAACACATCAAATGTTATGACTAAACAGTGGAATTACTGAAAGCCATTAGATTTTTTCCTTATACTTTAAGTACTTTGATGCATGAGTGCATTAACCTTTTTTTAAATGGTGTGTTTATCAAACCTTCTGACAATTTTGTTTTGCTACATGTGGCATTTTTTGCAATTTATGCTTAAAGTTCGGGGTGAAGGCACATGACTACAAGTGTCAGAAAAGCATATCACAAATGACACTTAAACCCCTTATAACACTGAATTTCCTTATGGTAGAACCTACTTTGAAATTCTACTCTACGTGTGTATTCACATTTATCCAAGTGTTATTGGGTCAAAATTTTAGCTCTTTTTATTGGGGGTGGGAGAGCTCGAGCCTATCCCGGCTATCATAGGGTGAGAGGCAGGCTGCAATCTGGACAGGTCATCAGTCTGACACAGGGCTAACAGAAACATGGACAATAATTCACACCGATGGGCTATTTAGAATCATCAGTTAACCTATCTCCGCTGCATGTCTTTGGACTGTGGGAGGAAGCCAGAAGAGAACCCATACAAACAGGGAGGCCCCAGGCAGATTGTGGGGTCGAACTCCCGACCTTCTTCCTATAATGCAACAGTGCGTGCCACCATGCTAGTCTGGGAAGTGTTATAGGGTTATTTCCAAGTATTTTGAAGTCCATCATGCCATCAACATGATTATTCACAAGTGGAAAATATTCAAGATAGCTGCTAATCTCAGGAGTGGAGGTCCCAGCAAGTTTATCCCAAGGTCAGACTGAAATACACAGAGAAGCCGCAAAAAACACGAGCTACATCTCCGACTCTACTGGCCTCAGTCAGCATGTTAAATAATAAAGTTCATGACAGTACAATTAAGAATAAGACTGAACAAGTGTGGATTGTTTGGAAGGGTTGTCAGGGGAAAGCCTCTTCTCTCTGAAAAGAAGATGGCAGCATGGCTTAGGTTTGCAAGAAATTGGATCTGAACAAACCACAAGATTTCTGGGGGAAAAAGTCCTCTGACCAGGGGAAACAAAAGTGGAGTGTGTGCCCATAATGCAAAAAATTAAGCACAACATATTAACAGCATACCAACTGTCTGTGCACTTTGCAGTCACTTCTCTGTATCCCAAAGTATTCTAGAGTAAAATGCGAAGCCATCTGCCCAACAGATAAAGCTTTGCACAACAGCTGAGGAAAAAAAGAAGTGAGATTCTGCAACGGCCCAGTCAAAGTCCAGATGTCAGCTCAACTGTACAGTCATGCATAAACAAACGACAACCCTCAATGAACTGAAGCAGCACTGTAAAATCGAGCGGGCCAAAGAATTCCTCCAAAATAACATGAAAAACTGAAATCATACGGAAAACGATTACTTCAAGTTATTAATTGCAAAAGTAGTTTGATTCTAACAGATAATTAACTGTGCGACCTCAGAGTAAAGTAATTCATTTAAGGAACAGTCAAGTTTGAGAAGCATCCTAAAGGACATTAATTAAAGTAAGATGGGTCAGCGCCCCAGCGTCGCTATGTGATAATGATAATGTGAATAAGTAAATGGGATTTTTTTTTAATAAATTTCCAGAACACATGAAAACAACTTTTGCATTTTTATTTTTGTGATATAACACAATGAAGGATAATATTAAAAAGAAAATTTGTAAAGGAGATCGAGTTACATAAAAGTAGGGTCAAAGCTGATTTATGGCTTAATAATTAGCCAATAAGACAAGCCGTTATGGTCATGGGCGTCCACTTTGATACGTTCCCAAGCAAATCCCAACGCATCTGAGTGAAGACACCACAGAGCAGCTGCGACATATTAAAATATCACTGAATAATGCATGACCATTTCTTACTTTAGGAAGTCAAGTGAAAACACTCAGAATCTGTTTAGCTTAATGCAAGAACTTCCAGCTCGTCCCAGGGGAAAGGACTTGAAGGGCTTGACAGTTCAACATTCCAGATTTCATTCTGACCTGGTTACTGGGAGGTGAAGGAACAAGCACTGGGAGAATTGACTGTGCTTGTGTATTTAATTATATCATCAAAAGTAAGCTGCTGATTGGTAGAGCGCTTATTTATTTATTGTTTCTTTCCTGAAATTATTCATCACGGTGTGTAATGAAGGCTGTGACAGTATTTAGATCGTCTGGTGGAACTGAGCTCCAGATGTAGCCTGGCCAGATGGATGGGCGGTGCTGATGGCGTGGTGTGGGGACACGTTGGAGAGGTGGTGCTGCAAATATGACAAAGCTCTTTATAAAACACGCCAGGGCATCTTCAAACTATGAAGAGTGCAAAGATGACATAGTACAATGACCACTAAATTATGAATAACCCCAGCAGTGTAACAGCAAGCAGGGGTTTCATGCTTTCTACAGACTAATGCGGAGATTCAGGTTCTTGTATCTGATTTTTATTCTCACGCTGATGAAAAATGATATCTTCTGGTGAGATCTCACGTGTTCACAACTCAGTTTAAATAACACGTTGGGTAACTAAAAGTATCCCACGAGCGATCAGACTCAAAAAAGCCAATCAGGGGTCAATAATGCATTTAAAAGGAAGAAACTTTGAGGGTGTTTTCTTCTGCTGAAAGTGAAAAGTTTCTCAAAGTCTGAGAGGCGTGCTTTGTGACATCACGCTTCAGCCAGAGGCTATGTGGAAAGCCTGTATTCACATACAGTGCGGATAGTCTGTCAATGATGCAGAAGATTATAGTTACATTTTCGAAACTAAAAAATATTTAGTTTAATATTTTAGAATATACAACAAATTATCGTTCAAAGGACGTATATCTGCGTTTGAATTACGCCAGGAGAAGATCATTAAAGGTATCTCTATGAGTCTGTGTTGAGTTATTTGAACGCAACACTCGCAAATATGAGTTAAGGCCACATGCTCTTCGCAACCAAGTCTGAAAGTCAAAGTTTGCCCGGATCGAGAAGTCCTTGGCTGTTTTAATCTGTGTAATGTATAAGAACCTGCCAGTGTGGTAATGGATGCCTGCCACGGTGGTGCTAAATTATTCACAGTCTGGGGAACCAGAGAGGCAGCAGGATCGGATAGACTAGGCTGTGTCATCGGGAGCCTCTGCCAACCTGGCTCCTCTTTCGGACCGTCCAGGCCGGCTTCGTGAGTTTTATCCAGGCAGCCACATGAGAAGACCGTAAAACAGCCCGAGGACTGGCGTTCACAGTGGATGGGACAAAGCCAAGGCCGTTGGGTCGACCGGTCAACCAGCAGGCCTTAGATACAGTTTGGAGCACGCAGGACGAAATCCATCCATAAAGTCATCCAAACATATCCATCCACGGTTTAATACACACTCAGTACTACTACTCAAAATGCTGCGCTGTCCTCGGTGCTGAAATGATTGAAACGGTCTTTGTGCTGCATAATAATTGCTACATTGCAGCCTGCTGTAAGCCTTTCACTCTGCTTGTCACCTATGACCTCATCGTTGGCAGTGGTGGGGAGCTCGGAGGTATCCTGCATGAACTTAACACTGGATTTATAGAAATAACATAGGCTGTAAATGTCGGTGTGATAATACACATCTATATCTCAGGGGAAAAGAAATTACACGACTCCAAATATCAAGGATGCCGTCGATAAACAGCCTTTTAATTAAAGAATTGTGGGGCTTTTTGGTTTTGCTTATTCTTAGACGCTTGCGCACAGAGTCCACGATTCTGCAACCTGTAAGTTGAGCAGAAGAGAGGGTGGGTGGGAGGGAGGAGGGAGACTGAAAGAGGAGGAGGGGAGAGGGAGGAAGCGGGAGAGGGGAATGCCGGGAGGCGCTGCTGATGTTAACTGTTCAGTCTGGTGAAGGAGAGCAAAGGAGCCGTGTAGCTGTCCGTGCCCCAACTTTCATGTCAGGGGCCACACTGCTAGCGAGGTGCTTGCAGGGAGGATGATGATGACCATGAACGGCAAGCAGCACTTCTCCATGCACCCGGCTCTGCACGAGCCCAAGTATCCCGGCCTGCACTCAGGCTCGGAGGGCATGCGCAGAGTCTGTCTGCCCGCCCCACAGGTACGTTCAGGTCAGGGGAGAATGACTGGAGTATACTGGGTGAGAGAAAGGGGAAAATATCACACTGGAAATGTCTGTAAAGTTGATTTGACAGGACTTTGTTCTATCCGCTATCTCTCCCTCTCTCTTCTGTCTGTACCCCCCTCCCCCTCCCAACCCCATCCTCCCCATCTCATCCACATGTCTATTCAAGCAATGCTCTTGCTTTCATATTAATTTTTATGACCTGCGCTTTGAGGAGGGTTCTCTTCTCTCCTCGGCGCTGCTTGCCTTTGGAAAATGTTTTTTAGATCCTGAGAGCTGCCTGACAGAATTCCCCACTGACTCCAGTATGCGCACTCTTGCTTGCAGCTGCAGGGCAATATATTCGGAGGCTTTGATGAGAGCCTGCTGGCACGGGCAGAGGCTCTGGCGGCTGCTGACAGCATTGTCTCTCACGGCAAAAGTCACCCGTTCAAACCAGACGTGACTTACCATACCATGAACAGTGTCCCCTGCACCTCAGCTTCATCTTCTTCCTCTACTACCGTGCCCATCTCCCACGTTCCTTCCACCATCGCCTCTCATCACCACCACCACCTCGGACAGACCCTGGAGGCCGGAGACCTCCTGGACCACCTCTCCACCAGCCTGGCTGTGACCGGGATGGGTGCCCCAGAGCCTCCAGGGATGACCACGCCGGCGCACCACCACCAGCACCCTCATCACCACCTGCAGACTATGGGGCAGCTGCACCAGGCGATGGCCACTATGGCCCACCCTCACTCACTGTCCGTTCACGGCGGTATGGCTTGCGTCAACGACGTAGAGTCGGATCCCAGGGAGCTGGAAGCCTTCGCCGAGCGGTTCA